GTCAGCGATGTCAGAATTCTGGACGAAAGCTCGGACTGCTCCACACACCATCAAATCACAGGATACAATTCTCGGCAGATTCAACAGATTTCCTCCGCTTCTCCGTTTTCAGAATTCTTCACATCCATTCCTATCGTACTCAGAAGTGCTTCGTTTACGCTGTTCTCTGCCCTAAAACGCACTCATTGGGCTGATGTCTTCAGGGAGACTGAACTCAATCAAGTTGCCATAAGCCCCAATTCAATGTTTCTATTGACTAAGTTACTGATTTCAAATTCGCTTTTCAGCCACTGGATTAGCTCGGCAGAGTTTAGTCCTGCAATATTCATGTGAATTTGAAGGATCAATATACACACTGACTATACCGTGTTTATAGGTCGGTGAAGGGCAATACCTAATATTGATTTACATCAACCCGACGCAAATTCCATCTTAACAGTAATTTTGGAGTTGATGAAGTAAGTTAACAACACTTGCGCATTTCATATGACTGGATAACATTTCACCTGTGGTAAAACTACTCTTCACAGTTTAACAAGCTCCACATTGGGAACAACTTCTGACAACGGAACATTCTCGATGGCCAATGAGATGACTGAATACATGGTAACAGAGTTTACATCTGAACCCAACGGTCCATTACGTGACATCATCATGGATCCTGATTACCAATCTTTGCACAACATTTCTGATATTAATGGTAATGACTATCTTCTCAACACCGCTTTCTGGTTCGATTTAAGCACCGAGGAGCCAACACCCATTCCACTCCCAGGCAGAGCTCCCCTGATTGAAATCATCATACGCATGGTCAGTGTGATAATCACCCTCTTTGGCAACTCTTTAGTGCTGTACGCCTACGCCACAACGAAAAATCTTCGTACATACACCAACTATTACGTCGTTGGTTTGGCGGTGGCTGATTTCTTCGCTGGGGGCGTCCTACCAATTATATCCCTCTACCATTCTTTTCTTGGTTACTGGCCCTTCACCGAGGTCGCCTGCACCTGCAAGACCTTCATCAATCACGTTTTCCTCCAGGCCACTTTCTTGATGACGGTGGTGATTTGCTTTGATAGGTTCAAGGCTCTCAACATGCCCCTTAAACACTTGAAGGATAAGACCATGCGCCACGCGTGTTTCCTGATATCCCTTGCCTACATCATCCCGGTAATGCTCTGGACGCCTGTCATTGTGGTGTTCCCGTACGTCGGGTTGGCCACACGGTTACGTCCCCCGCTGTGCACCGGTCCCTACGCGCTCCATCCTTCCCTACTCATCTTTGCAATCCTAGTCCTGTCCTGGATCCCGATGTTGGTGACCCCTGTCCTGTATTCCTTCGTTTATAGTGCCGTCATTCACAAAGGGGTCAACAAGAAGCGAGGCATCGGCGAGGAGGCCAGCTCCAACAATAAATCCGAGAATCCACCTGCATCGCGGGCAGAAACACCTGGCTTGAGCAGTCCCACCGATCGGTGCGACCGGGCATCTCACTTACAGACTGCCCTTGATATCGAGCCAGGTTCATCCAAGGATCAAGTCTTCAGCGTCTCTGCTGGAATCTCTATGGGATTGACCAACTTGGCCTTCGAGCAAACCGGAGATGATAATGATGAAGACAAAACCAAGAATCATCCAGAAACCACCATCCGCCACATTTCGGCAGTACAGTCGACGAAACGTCCAGCGAAAAAAGCGGGTGAAACGTTGACGAAACGCCATGTCGGCCTAGGCGCATTGCAGCGTAAAACACGAGCCTCCACCATGGGTTCCAAGCGGGAGAGTCGGTTGGCCAGTCTCCGTGCAACGCGCACTTTGACGTACATCATGTTCACTATGGTTGTGACGGCACTACCGTGGTCCATCTTCACGCTCTGGGCCGCCATTGATCCCTTCACTGTGCCTCTCAGAGGCCGTGCATTCCCAGTAAGTGACTTTAATTTGGGATTTTGCCCTTTTATTGACTTAAATGTTATCGTAGTGTTGTTTTGTAGTCGAGTTTATCAGAAGTTCACAAGAAGTAAAAGCACAAGTACTTTCACAAGTCCAGTCGCAAGTGAAATTGGATGTACAATAACAAAGAAGTGCCTTCGTCACAGTTCATTTGGATAGCTTGCGACTTGACTTGGGACTGGATGACTTGCGATGGTATTGTTGGACTTGTAATGACTTGTGATGAACTTGACTACACTGCTTTCACGGACGTAAGATTGCTTCGGGTAGGACTCGAACCCAGGACCACCTGCTTTCGTGCAAACGTCTTAACCATTCCCTGTATCGGCTGTCTGATTCGAATCCGATTTTGGTCGTGGGTCGTGCTTTCCGTGCTTTCAGAAACTTGTTCGTGTCCTACCCTGCAAGCTTGTGTTTCTTTCTAATAAGTTGTTAAACAGTACGGTACTGAGTATTGGTAGGGCCTATACAGTGATTGCAAAGTTACGTCGGTGGAAGGCAAAACTGGGAAATACAAAAATTCCATCTTCCTTACTCTATTACAAGCAACGTTTGGGTCTGATTTCATCGACTTTCTCAGATATACAAGATCTAATTCCTGTTTAAGAGCTGTTATGTGGGCGCAGCCTACTGAGGTAGAGTGCCCTGAACTGGAGAATCGAACCCAAGATCTGTGGGTAATTCTGCAGGTTGTAAGTTGAGTCAAGCCTGTGGGTTGTAGTGCGTGTGTCCTTTTGGCAAGAAACATTTTCGCTATCAAATTGCTTCTCCCCACCAAGGAGAAAATAGGTAACTATGGCTGTTCAGGGAGGAAATGGTTACTGCCACGATGATACGTTGGCCCGACGTCGGTTAACGCCGACTTTTTTTATTTTATTTTGCCGACGTTGTTGATCGGTATGTAAACTGACGTCAGCCCACCAACGTTGTACTGAGGTTGGTAACAATCTGTTTATTCGACATCGGCCTGACAACGTTATGCGGACGTTGTCGATCGGCCTGCATTTTCACGTCGGCCTGCCAACGTTGAACTGACGTTGGTATTAGTTTCTATATTAGACGTCAACGTTCCAACATTATTCATACGATGGCAATCGGTAAGTATGTTGACGTCGGCCTAGCCGCCAACGTTGTGCCGACGTAGGTGAGCAGTATACATTTAATTAACGTCGGCCTGCCTACGTTGTGCCGACGTTGGCAATCGATGTGCATTTTGACGTTTGTTTGCCAACATTGTATCGACGTTACTAAATCGTATGTATATTCGACGCTTGGAGTTTAGTGAAGACATCATACCTTTATTCAACAAGAGAACATGCAAGGTAGGTTACGAATCTTACACCCGTCAACCAGTGGTCCTTAATTGTTCGTATTTGCTCAAGGGCGTCTTTTTCGCAAGTCTAACTTCCTAAAAGTATCAAACTGTATGAAGATTTCTTCAGTTTAACAATCTTGCGATAAGATTATAGTTGCCACACACTTCGTGGTTCCACCACATAATCAGATCAAGTTTTCTCTTCGTACGCAAACGTTTTTTTAGAAGGCGTTTGATAAACAGAATGAAGCCAGCTGAGACGAGTTGATCATTGTTATTTAAGCGCGCAAATTGTATCCTTGAGTAAACGGGAAGCGTTCGTGCCACAGTCACTTGAGGACTTTATAGGAAGAAATCTGTGCAATATTTTTCCCGTTCCAGTTGTTAAAACAATTACATAAGGAACCTGAATGACCTAACGATGTCGCACAACGTACTTATTGAATCAGCCTCTTTGAAAAAAAAATAGACAAAGCGAAGTCTGCAGTAACGGGGAATTTAGCTGCCATAAACTCTCACTTGATATTGTTTGTATATATTAAAAGTCGATATAGTGGGAAAGTCTTTTTTTGGATAGGCTTAGCTCAAGTCAGATCTCTTACCCGGACGTTGTACAGAGATTTAACAACACTTTTACCGGCCCAGCCTTCTCAATCGCTGTGCCCAAGTGCGCGCCTTTACTTTCGTGTACGGATTTCGACTAGAGTCAAGTTTATGGTTTGAACTGAGAGTTTTTCTGACAAGCTCAATACTTTTTGCAGCAATGTCGAAAACTTCCCTTCTCTTCAGGGAAATATTTGTGCGTGTAAGTTCAAGATCAATTCCTTCTAAACGTCTTAGGACATTCCAATTTGTATTAATCGATTCCATTTATCTCCCGTTTGTTTAATTTTCACTGGAAGACCTTCAGCGTCTCTGTCAAAACATAAAAAAAATCATCCCCGCACATGCATCCGAATGCACTTTATCAAGAAAATTAATTTCCCAGTAGATCGTGGGGCAAGAATCATAGGAGTTACATCCATCCATTTGAGAATATTTGAGTAAATTTTGTGAGGATCGTTGTAGTAACAAAAAACAGTGCGTCATTGCCGGTAGCCAAATGGACTTATAAAAAGCCCAACACTGGTCAGCGATGTCAGAATTCTGGACGAAAGCTCGGACTGCTCCACACACCATCAAATCACAGGATACAATTCTCGGCAGATACAATAGATTTCCTCCGCTTCTCCGTTTTCAGAATTCTTCACATCCATTCCTATCGTACTCAGAAGTGCTTCGTTTACGCTGTTCTCTGCCCTAAAATGCACTCATTGGGCTGATGTCTTCAGGGAGACTGAACTCAATCAAGTTGCCATCAGCCCCGATTCAATGTTTTTATTGACTAAGTCACTGATTTCCAATTCCCTTTTCAGCCACTGGATCAGCTCGGCGGAGTTTAGTCCTGCAATCTCCGTGTGAATTTGAAGGATCAGTATACACACTGACTATACCGTGTTTATAGGTCGGTGAAGGGCAATACCTAATATTGATTTACATCAACCCGACGGAAATTCCATCTTAACAGTAATTTTGGAGTTGATCAAGTAAGTTTACAACACTTGCGCATTTCATTTGACTGGACAACATTTCAACTTTGGTAAAACTACTCTTCACAGTTTGACAAGCTCCACATTGGGAACAACTTCTGACAACGGGAAATTCGTGATGGACAAATGAGATGACTGAATACATGGTAACAGAGTTTACATCTGAACCCAACGGTCCATTACCTGACATCACCATGGATCCTGATTACCAATCTTTGTACAACATTTCTGATATTAATGGTAATGACTATCTTCTCAACACCACTTTCTGGTTCGATTTAAGCACCGAGGAGCCAACACCCATTCCACTCCCAGGCAGATCTTCCCTGACGGAATTCATCGTACGCGTTGTCAGTGTGATTATCACCCTCTTCGGCAACGCTTTAGTGCTGTACGCCTACGCCACAACGAAAAATCTTCGTACATACTCCAACTATTACATCGTGGGATTGGCAGTGGCTGATTTCTTCGTTGGGGGCGTCCTACCAATTATAAACCTCTACCATTCTTTTCTTGGTTACTGGCCCTTCACCGAGGTCGCCTGCACCTGCATGACCTTCATCTCTCACGTTTTCCTCCAGGCAACTTTCTTGATGACGGTGGTGATTTGCTACGATAGGTTTAGGGCTCTCAACATGCCCCTCAAGCACTTGAAGGATAAGACCATGCGACACGCGTGTTTCCTGATATCCCTTGCCTACATCATCCCGGTACTGCTCTGGACGCCTGTCATTGTGGTGTTCCCGTACGTCGGGCTGGCCACACGGATACGTCCCCCGCTGTGCACCGGTCCCTACGCGCTCCATCCTTCCCTACTAATCTTCACAATCCTAGTCCTGTCCTGGACCCCGATGCTGGTGACCTCTGTCCTGTATGCCTTCGTCTATAGTGCCGTCATTCGCAAAGGGGTCAACAAGAAGCGAGGCATCGGCGAGGAGGCCAGCTCCAATTATGCATCGCGGGCAGCGACCGACGAAACACCTGGCTTGAGCAGTCCCGCCGTTCGGTGCGACCGGGCATCCCACTCACAGACAACCCGTGGTACCGAGCCAGGTTCATCCAAGGATCAGGTCTTCAGCGTGTCTAGTGGACTATCCTTGGGCTTGACCAACTTGGCCTTCGAGCAAACCGAAGATGATAATGATGAATACCAAACCAAATATCACCCAAAAACCACAATCCACCACATTTCGCAAATTTCGGCAGAACCGTCGGCGAAACGTCCAGCGGGAAACCCAGATGAAACGTCGACGAAACGCCATGTCGGACTGGGCGCATCGAAGCGTAAAACACGAGCCTCCAACATGATTTCCAAGTACGAGAGTCGGTTGGCCAGTCTCCGTGCAACGCGCACCTTGACGTACATTATGTTCACCATGGTTGTGACAGCACTACCGTGGTCTATCTTCGCACTCTGGGCCGCCATTAATCCCTACACTTTTCCTCTCAGGGGCCGTTCATTTGAAGTAAGTTGTTTCATTTCATTTTGGGTTCATTTCATTTCATTTCAGTATGTACCTTTATCGACTTCACTTTAGTGTTGTTGTCAAGTCCATCAGAAGTTCATCATAAGTTCGGCCACAAGTATATCACAATAACAAGTACTTGATGTCTTGTGATGGTCTTGTTGGACTTGTGAGGGCCTTTGATCGGTCCCTATTCATTTCGACGTTGTACTGCCGAACGTGGTGCCGACGCGACGTTGACGATCGGCCTTTATTTTGACGACAGCCTTCAAAAGTTGAACTGACGATGGTATTTATTTCGAAGATGGCTATTTTGACGTCGGCCTGCCAACGTTGTATCAATGTTGGCAATCGGTTTGCATTTTGACGCCTACTTGTCAACGTTGTACTGGCGTTGCTTAATGGTCTGTATATTCGACGGCATTTAACAATGCCCCCACCTTGAAAAGTTAGCAATGTTGCACCCCCCCACTTTGACCGATTAAGCTGTTGAGGGCAATGTCTCCTTTCATTCCCCCCCCCAAAAAAAAATCAAGTAAATAAACATGTCAGATTCTTTTATAAATAAGCAAGAATACGAGAAGTCCCAACGACTGTATTTAAATCGATGCTGTGGTGTACTCACCCCTTCTCTCAATAGGTTCGTGTAGAGAATGCAAGAGAAACTGAAGAAAGTGTGCCCATGTTTGTAATAAAGTCAGCCCCTCTTCCGAATTTGCAACGGTTGGCCTCCATAGCCCTACGTAAATTGTTTTCATTTTGCTGGAAAACACTTACTTTTTGTGTGATTCGTGGGTTAAAACACCGTACAAATGCAACGGTCGCCACAAAAACCGAACATGGAACAGTTGTGGAGCAATGACCTGCATGTGATTTGTATGTTAAACTTTTCGGATTGCGAATATATAAATTCACCTTAAAATCACTCCTTTTAACGACACGATAAACTAAAACATTGACCAGTAGTGGTAGGGATGGTGTTATAACGAAATGAGCTCTAACTATAAGTCCGAGAATCCTACGTTAAGAGCAGCGCCTGATGAAACACCAAACGGTGTGACCGGGCATTTCACTCACAAACAGCCCCTGATACCGAGCCTGGGCAAACAAAGGATAAAGTCTTCAGCGTTTCAGCGAGACTCACCATGGTCCTGACCAATCTGGCTTATGAGAAAACCGAAGATGATAATAATAAGGACAATACCACGATGCGTCCAGAAACAGCCCGTACAACGCCGGTGCCATCAGCCAAGCGTCGGTACCCCGACGTCCCAGTCGTACCCAAGCGTAAAAACAAGCCTTAACCGTGGGTTCGAAACGGGAGAGTGGCCTGGCCAGTCTCCGTGCAACGCACACCCTGACATATATCATGATCACCATGGTTGTCACTGCATTGCCGTGGTCCATTTTCTCCGCCCTGGGCAGCAATTGATCCCTACACTTTGCCGATCAGAGGCCATTCATTTGATGTAAGTGGTTTTAATTTAGGGTTTGTCTTGATACAGACTTAACCCTAAAAGGGCCGGGTTGGAATCCGCCCCCCCCCCCCTCAACTTTTTCCGCGGTAGCCTAATTTTTTTTCTTCGCGACCCAAGCTGTTATGACTTTTTAGCCTCGAGCCTTGCCCATCTTTTGATACCAAAAACATAAAAATTGGTCCAGGGGTTGCCGCGTAGCGAAAGATTTTCACAGAGCAGAATTACAATTCGTACATATGAATAATTAATTAGCCATAATTCCAAAACCCTTTGACCTATAATCATGAAATTTTCTGGGTATGTTTATGATGAGTTGTTCTATGCATGTACCGAGTTTCAAAACTTTTCGTCACTCGACGGCCGAGATCTTAGGGGGGAGGGGGACGGAAGCCGCCCCCGGCTAAGAGATGGTCAAAATAACCCGGCCTGATTAGGGTTAAAGTTAATGGACAACAATTGCAACATTCAAAAATGAAACTGCCAAAGCAGTGAAACTCCCTACTGGATTGTATATAATAATAGGATCATGCATCCGTTAAAATGTTTGCGCCAAGTATGCTATCATTTTTAAGAAAAGAGGAGTTGCCATCATTTCCTTGTTAGGACCAACCATCGCAAGAAAAAACCCGCAAATACTTCTCCCAACTGACCGAATCAATAGATTATATATTCGACGATTCGTAAACGAGAATTGTTTTTCCGAGTGACAAACTGGGATCATACCACAAGAGAGTGCAAGTCAAATGTACTAATTGACATTTTTGGAAGAGCTTTCATCGGACACCTTGCTTTGTGTCGAGAAAAATAAGACTGAACAGTCAGTAGCCGTGTCACGCACACAGCCCTGTTTGACCTCAGTTTCTCGTCCCGAGGTCAAGCACGCATGGCCCAAAAGCGTACTCGAGATTTTAAGAGATTTATTCGAGACTACAGAAGACTACAGAAGACTACGAGACTACGAGACTACAGATACATGCACAGTTTGGCCAAGATGGCTAAATAAGTAAAAAGTTGAAATCATGTGCTTTATTTTGATAACTAAAATAACTGCTTTTGACAAATATAAAGTGTTGTTATGGCCTGTCAAACAAAATCATATTTTTTATCAACAAAATCGAGGGCCGATAGTTTTTAGGTGTACATTCGATTCTTAAAAAAGGCCGAAACAAATAACAAGGCTTACTAGATGGAGGAAAGTATACGCTTCATTTTCATGTAAAACACGTGCAGGAGACTTCTAATGTTTGGTCCAAATCGCCGGTTGAAAAATGAAGACTTTTGCGAGATTTCATGATTTGCAATCACAATGTACGCGTGTAAACGTACGCCGACGAACATGTACGTTGGCCTGAAAACATTGTGAATAGTACGCGCTATTCGCGCAACGAATGACTTATGAATATTAAGCAGGCCATACTCGAGCGCGAGCTCGACCAATCAGTGGGCGTATGGGTCACAAGGTCACACCGTGTTTGGGTTCCTCGCTCTATGCTTTACAATGGCGACGATCTTTTCGCGTTGTGAAAAATGGAAGTTGTTGGAAACATTAGGTGTACGTCGAATTCTTAAAATATTAACGACATCACGTTCACGAGATTTTTTGTAGATGAAGGTTCACTCTTTCGTTTGATCACCTCAACATTTGGGAGACTTTCGTCGTTCTCGAAAAAAACCCGGAAATTCCATGACCTAATTTTTAGTCGATTTGTGCGTAAAATAATATCGTCAAAATGCATCGAAATCTTTTTTTTTTTAGAAAAAAAAATACCTTGATAGATGTATGAAGTAGGTCTTTAACTACCTAAAACAACTTTGTTTGTTTGGATCAGTTGTGGTTTGCCATAAAAATTGCGAATTTTGTGAAGCCCTTTTTACGGCCATCGTTCGCTGGCCTCGCGTTGCTGTAAGTTGTGTGGACGAGAAAATAGAGCAGCTACGCGTGATACGGCAACTGACTGTACAGCATTTTCAGAGTTTTCTCAAAAATGTATGAAGCTACTGAACTAATTTTGTTGGACAGGTTTTTTTTAATACCCTGCTTGAGTATTTGTTTGGGGTGGGCCAAATGGTGTACATTTCACGTTGGCGAGCGGTATACATTTTGACGTCGGCTCACAAATATTGTGTCGACAATGTTAATTAAACAGTTTGTGTTTTGACGCTGGCCTGCCAACGTGGTGTCGATGTTGGCGATCGGTATGCATTTTGTTGTTATACTTGCCAACGTTATTACAAAGTTGACGAGCGGTAGGTTCTTTGACGTTGGCCTGCCAACCCTTTATACTCACGTTGCTAAATAGTCTGTATATTATTCGACGCTGGCCTACCAACGTTATTTCGACGTTGGCGATGTTATGCAATTTGACATTGGCCTTCTGGCGTTGCCCCGACGTTGTGAACAGTGTGAATATTCGATGTCGACCCTACCAACATTACGCCAACGTTGGCAATCGGTATGCATTTTGACGCTGGCCTGCAAATATTGTGCTGACGTTGCCGATTTTGTAAGCTTTTTGACGTCAGCCTGCTGGCGTTGTCCTGAGGGTGGTGAACAGTGTCTATATTCGACGTCGACCTGCAAACATCCCGACGTTGGGGATTGGTATGAATTGTGACGTCGGTGAACAATATTGTGCTTATTTGGTTTTCAGTCTCTGTATTTGCCAACGTTGGGTCGACGATGCTGAACGGTATGTATTTTGATCCCGGCCTGCCAACGTCTTGTCGACGTTGGTGATCGGAATGCATTTTGACTTTGCTTGCCATCGTTATACCGACGTTGGCGATCAGTATATTGGCTTGCCAACGTTGGGCCAACGTAGGCGATCCCGCTTTTAGAGTTGTCATATTCTTAGGTAATTTGCTTGTGGAAATCAAGTGTGTACAAATTGTGAGTATTAAGCACATATATGCACATATGCAACAAAGAGTAAACTGTTATCAAAAATAATTTATAAGCATTAAAGAACACCCATATCTACCCAAAAAAACCCAATATTTGGTGATTCAACAAATTCAATTTAAGGCTAGCTCACGGAGAGGCAAAGTTTACTATTAAAGTTACTCTGCACAACGGAAAATCAGGTTCAATAGATGTATATGTGAATGAATCAAAGTAAATGTCTGCATATGCGCCTATCAAATGTTTCAGCCCCCTCCCCCCCCCCCCGTCTGATGTCGAGATTCGGTCACGTTTTTCATGGCCCAGGGTGGGGATTTTGGTCACTCAAATTTCATTGTTAACATTGGCGTACTAATGGGCAGGCAATCACTAGTGTGCCCCACGTATGAAAGTCGGGGCATGGTCGGGGATTGTCACTTAAATTTTGCCCGAGGGGTGGGGATTTTGTCACTTCAAAAGTGACAATCCCCACGTCTTGGGTGGGGCAGCCCGGAAGGGGAGGGGTGGGGGAAACATTTGATAGGCGCATAAGAATTCCTTCGATAACATAAATAATGTGTGCGTTGGCGATAACGTTGGCGATCGGTTTGCATTTTGACGCATGCTTGCTAACGTTTGCCCGACGTTGCCGATTGGTAGATATTTTGACATCGGTCTTCCAGCGTTGTAGTGACGCCGGTCTGTCATCCATTTTGCCGACGTTGGCGATCGATATGCGGTCGGCATGCATTTGACGTCAACCTGCCAACATTATGCCGACTTTGTGATCGGCCGACGCTCTACTTGACATGCTTGCTATCCACTGCACAATCATACTGCACGTAAATGGTGTACATAAAGACAGGTTTCTATGTTATCCGCCGTAGGCCTGACGTCAAAACATTTGTTGTATTAATGCCGTACGTCGGTCCGATGGAAAAAAGTACATGGGCCTATAAAAAAACGTTGGCGAAATAACGGGCGACATAAGTACGCCAAAGCGTCGCACGAGCGCTGGCCCGATGGAAAAACCTCCTTAACGCCCCGTACCCCGGATGCTACGCCTATTATGTTGTCGATACAATGGCTTGAAACATAATACGAATTATTTTAATGACGTTGCAAGTTTGAATCTTGTCACCTTTCCTCCAGATAATTGGATGGTTGGCCAGTCTGAGCAGTACGATGAATCCTCTCTGTTACGCCGCCAGCAACCCGCTTTTCAAGGCGGCCTTCATGAGGATTCTTCGGTGCCAGCGCACCAGAAACGCACCGGGAAGAGCGTCACAAAGTCGCCATTTTTCACAAAGTGGAAGATAAGAGGATCAAGGCATGCTGAAAAAGTAACATACAAAATGACTCAGTATGTATGATGATTCCAAGAGTGTACATTTAGGAAGGAGCATTCAAGACTCGTGAAAGACTTATAGTGTGAACGTGACAACTTTGTGGTTGTCCATCTTTCAAAGAGTGTTCATTAATTCTCACAATATAGTAATATTTATCCACATCTTTTTGTGCACCTGTGCCGCTAGGATCATTTGCATCTATCCCCAAATGACCTACTGAATTATTATCATCAAAAAGCTTACTTGCATTAAAGATCGCACTGGTACACAACACTCTTTGAAATAATTCCGTCTGGCTTGCTGTCATTTAGAAGAAATGAAGTCATTTAGAAGAAATAGGTGTTTTCCAAAAAAATTTGAAAGTACAGATAGTGCTGTAGACAAAACTGTATTTCGTGATTAATTGTGTTGTATTGGAAGCGATTAAAATGCACAAATGATCATGTACGCCTTAAACACGTCATTAGAGACCTATTGCATATTTTACTGTATTTTAAATCTGAATTTTAACTAAAAGCAAGTACTTAATGCCCATTAGTTAAATTTAACAAACAACATATTACTAGAACATGCTATTTTAAAGGCTTCACCGTGTGTCTTTCGCGTTATCACGAAAAGTAAAATCGAAGTACATGTATGACTTAAATTCCAAATGTGATTGAGCGTATAAAGCGAAACCATGAAAAACTGTACAATTCTGGCACTCTTCCTACAGAGGGCAGCAGACAGCTTTCTTGGAGTATTTATTTCCAGTGGCTACTTTCTGGTGTAGTGTGAAATTTGTACTCATGAGATGCGGACTCATTGGTCGTGTTGCGCATACGTAAATGACGACATTTATATGACGCTGACAGTTAACGTGTAAGGGTGAGAGTCAATGTAAGGTAAAACAGACCAAATTTCATAGGAGTCCAAATTTTATCTGACACCAGCTCTTTGGGTGCTGAGAAAACAAAGAAGTTTCCTTGACTTTGTATGCATGTAGCAGCTTGGTCTGAATGGTTATATTTCTGAGCAAAAGAGAGAGCGTTGTCGACATGTACTATGGGTACTTTACATTTTTTTTGTACTTACACACGAGGTTATAGTGGCGTAAATTTACATGCCACAATTAATTTCTTCAAAAAAAAGATTTATACAATCGAAATTTACAAGTGATGTTTCTAAGGTTTTTACCCACAATATTGCGTTGCTGCAGTTCCCCCATCCGCTCACAAAATATGACCCATTGTCTTTATGCAAATCTGGGCACGTGATCAATGCCTTGTCAGGAAACCTGGCAGTAAATTCGGGCGATTCACAATGCAGTGCGCCACCTAGCGTTTGCCATGGAGAGTTCATTTTCCCCAGTGCATTGTGGGAGAAAATCGACAAATTCGCAGCGCGGGACATTTGAAATTGTTACTTTTTCCGGTCAGTAGTTTCGTAAGTGTATGATTCGAGTATATGTTTGCCCTTTTCTTTTCTTTCTCTCAATATGGTGTTTTTGGTAAGCTGCAGAACGCTGTGCTCCAATCTATAACAAAATTAGCTCAAGTTGTCTACTGACACTCATTCGAATGGGCCATGTTTTGTCGACCGTAAACTACAAAGAATTGACTCTCCATGGCAAACTCTTGGTGGTGCATCGCACTGTGAAACGCCCGAATTACAAGAGCTTTGTTATGAACCAGAAAAAATAGTATGTAGAGACGTTCTTGAAATATGTGTTTGAATTCATGAAGGGCTATATTTGCAGAAGCTGGGGCGGAAGCTCACGACGCCCCGTCAGAGCGTTCATAATTCTAGAGGGCATCGTGAGCTAATTCCCATGTCCTGCAGTTGAACTCATTTTAAATATGACTTTTTTGTATTATGCTCATTGTAAACAACTTCAGATTTGTTTCACCTTCAGTGTTAGCTTTTTATGCCGCTTTTAGAGTTGTCATATTCTTAGGTAATTTGCTTGTGGAAATCAAGTATGTACAAATTGTGAGTATTTAAGTACATGTATGCACAGATGCAACAAAGAGTAAACTGTTATCAACAATAACTTATAAGCATTAACGGAGACACATATCTACACAAACACAATATTTGGTGATTTCGTGATTCGTGTGATTTTATAGTTGCAAAAAAACCCCACTTTTTCACAAAACAAATCCAATTTAAGGCTAACCTCGCGGAGAGTAAAGTCGTCAGGTAAAGTTTACTATTAAAGTTATACTCTGCACACAGGTCTGTATGTTAGATTGTCAGATTTGTCCAATCATTTGGAAACAGCATAATTTATACATAAATGGTCCAATTTAGACCAGGGTGAGCCGGGGAACCAGTACTCTGGGGATGGGGGTACCGAGGATGCCAATCAGCTGTGGCAGAATGGTGAACACAGTAAGCGAATGTTTGGGCCTGACTAGAACTAGAACAATACGCTTTAATTGAATGCCGAGCATTAATCAATATTCATGTAAATACCTTAGACAGTTTAGCCATTCCAATTGGTCGAGAGCCAGGCAAGTAGCCGGTTTTAAACGGATGATACAGACCGGCAGGCTGGTCTTAAACACTTTTCAAGTGTCACATGAAATTTGGACTCCTATGGAATCCGATGCTTTTTACCGTTTATTGGTTGAACGTTCACAATCCTTACGTAGGCATGCGCAACATTACCAGCGAGTCACCATTTCATAGTCCTAAATTCACAGCACACCGGCACAACTGCGTTCTGCTTCACATCGCGCAGCACGCGCGACGGTCGCGCCATTCACCATATGGCGTTGTTTACCACTGCTCGTGAGACTGGGCATACCATTATATAGCTAGCGGGGTGTCCCGAAAAACATGAAGTAAACATATAGACCAAAATCGTTGGAAATTTATTATTTTTGACTAGTTTTGATTTTTGGACAGAAAAGTTTTGATTTTTTGACCGAAAAGGTATTACCCTGCTGGTAACTGCTGATAATTACCCTCGCCTTCGGTTCGGGTAAGTTTTTAGCATCCAGACTCCAACCGGTCTTAAACATATTGTTTAAAACCGGCCAAGCACAAATTTATTCCCTTTAACATTAATCAGTAATATAGGCCTATACTTATACAACATGTAAAGTGATGGAAACAATTTCCTATTAGTTTGGCCTTAGCCCTATAACTAACAGTATACATGATGTCCACACCTACAGTCATTTTGAATCACTAAGAGGCAATTGTGGCAAGTAGATATCCACAACACTTATTAGAACTTCCACGTCTATGTCTCACTTGAGAAACACAAATTTCATAATGTATGTCAAAATTTGGTTCAGTAAATGTATTGTAACCGGGGAGAGCGAAATAAATTGGTTTAGTATGGTTCACTCTCCTCTCAACCGAGTGGTTCCACTAAATAATTTGGTTGGAGCGAAGTTTTCTGGTTGTCTCAGTATATCAAAATATTTTATTTACAACACAATTAAATTGATTTCAAATTTATGAGACAATATATTTACAAATTTACATCAGGTGGTAACAAAAGAATTAGTGTATAACGAACTTTGGTATAAAAAGGGAATGGAAGCTGTCTAGATCTATCCAATGATCTGAAATTACAAACAATAAATGACTAATGAATTATGGGAAAACTTTCAGATCAAGGTACATTATTAAAGACATCATTAAATTCAAAGTAAATTTGTTTTCCTTACTTTTAAATCAAAGAATACTTTTTATAAATACATCAGTCAGTGAAAGTTTTTACCATGTTGCCCAAATAGAAGAATTATTCGCAATGACAACTATAAGAATAAGAATATTGTATGTATAATAGTGCAAGTTTAATTCCGAAAAAAGAAATGAATTGTTCACTAAATAATGTTATAAACTAATGAAATAAGAATATATACCATGCCCTAATAACGAATTTCTGAATGACCATTGGACTTTAAAGAAAACCGGTTTTTTTGGGAGAAAGGGAAAGTCTATTTCAAATAATAAATGTGAAAGTGAATATTATAGCAACAGTAAGATTTCAGTTAAAGTTTGCGTGCTGCAAAAGTTACAAATTTCTATTTGGTTCAAAAGGAAAAATGGAGATTCACAAAAATAAAGTACATATTAAAAAAAAATATTAAAATAGTAGGAAATAATGTGTTTAAATAAATGTTCTAAGCATAAAATACAGTCAATGGAAAATCTTTCTTTGCCATGCCACTATGCAGGAATTTAATAGTAAATCATATGGGAATTGCTGATTCACATAATGTAATGTCACGACAAACAGATTTAATTCAAAAGTTAATATTTTGTTAAAGTCGTGATCACAAATGTTTGTTTCCGGCCGTGTCTGTTTCGACGGCCTTAATTTCTGGCAATTTAACGAAACATACAAAAGACCAGAATGTTGCATAAAAATGACTGGCATAAAAAGATTCAGGCATAAAAAGATTCAGGCATAAAAAGTTAAATAACACACAAGGGATTTACTCACCACTTGGGATGATCTACGTTCATGCCAGGCTGCCGATGTCAAATCGATGCAGAAGCAGCAAAAAACTTGCAAACTGCAATGCTGGCAACGCCGGATATAAAATTTTATGCTGCTACAACGGGGAGCCGCACCCAAAATTAGCAAAAGTGGAGTGTGCAATGCTCGCAGGATGATGATGGTGTGGATGCAACAAGGTGTTGGATCGAAATCAAAGTTATTTCGCAGCTAGCCCTACATGAAAACTATAACGAAACGCCAGGAATGCCAGCTATCTAACTTAAACAAAGCGCGGTGGAATGTAAACCTCGTCTACTCGCTACGCCCTTTGCATAGTTTAAAAAGTAGCGGGCAAAATTCTAGGTGGCGCGCGCTGTGCTAAAAAAAGTTTAGTTGGCCGCAAGAGGGCGCTAGGCAAAAAGCATGATCGCAAATGGCTGCTGACATGACACAAACACGAAGTTACAAAGTTATGAAAGGAATGCTGGAGTAGGGAACCTGTCGGGTAAAAGTAAGTACTGAAACCCGACCTGGGTTACACTATATTGTAGAGTTTTCAGAATCCAGTGTAGGTGGCGCTGTTTACTTTTAGTGGAGGTTGGGGTCTGCGCAAGTCCGCGTGAAATTGGCGCGAAAAGTGCGTGCGCGCGCGCGGTTAGTTGCTGCACAGATCTTGGTTGTAAAGGTTGTTCTGAAAGGCCGGCTCCGTGTGTACACACCCCAGGCTCCACGTTGCGATTACCTGCATAGTGCAGATAAAGGTAAATCACAAGTAATACTGATATCGTGTGATCATTGTTTGGATGCTTGGAGGAAAGAATTATAAGTTAAGAAACCGGAATATTTGGTGTCATTTGTGTCTTATTCTGTCTGTCCACTGAATAAAATTGAACCACTGAAAACGCTACAATATATATGAATGAATCAAAGTAACCGTCTCTTGTACAACTTATATTTTCTGTAAGAATTCTTTCAATGACATGAATTGTGTGTGCATATAGCAGTCCATTTCTGAGACTACAATCAAATGAACACTTAAAAGTTTCTGGGCACAAAACCTTTAGTATCTACATCATGTGGAAGCCACTGAGATGACATGGATAAGGATTGTAAGAAGTAAATCTGAGTTTGGAGATTAGGCTAAAAAGTAAAGTTTTTACGCACAATGTATGATGAAGTTACTCAGTTGTGGTACGTAGCCTATAGAATTTCATAGTGCATGGTTCCTTGATCATTGCCTGGATACATGTAATGCCTCAGATACCTTTTACATAATCTGTTTGAGATTTCTAATAAACGCAAATTTACACAAAAGAGAGGGAAGTGTTGTTTCACCCATGACTCATGCCCATGTGTCCGATCATAGTAGTGCTGCAGCCGAACCGTCGAACCGAACTAAAAATAGCCGAGCTTGGCCTTCCGAACCGAACCCGAACCGAACCGAACCCAAATGTCGGTTCGGAAAGTTCGGCAAGTTGTTGACAGCGCCATGTATGCTAATGCTTGCAATGAAAGGGCAAAATTAAAGCGAACGGATGATTAAATTTACCGTTGATTAAATTTGCAGTGTTCTAGCAAGGCATACAATAGTATATCGGGCCAATACGCTTTTGAAGAAATCGTACGCGCCTTGCGATTTTCTGAATGAAAAGCGTGCTCTTTGCATTCATCCAGCGTGGTCAGTATCTCACGCCCTGCTGCGCCGTGTTCCAGCGTGACGTAGTACGGTTGGACCAAACCAACTGCAGTGAAGGGTGTGCTTTCCTCGGCCAAATTCACCAGCATTTTCAGTTTTTTTAACCGAATCAGAATTTTTTCGTTAAGAATGAATACGAAAAACGATGTTATCTGCCAAAAGAGGGTGACACACCCCTTTACAAAATTAATGGATCCGTCCACAATATGAATATTCATGACAGTCGCGAATCGAAAAGTTATTATTTTTACGGTAGCTACTTGTCAGCTTGTTGCAGCTAAAAAATATTTTTGATTCCATTAGTTTGGCACAGAAAAAGGACCTGTTTGTTCTTAGAACAAAACTATTCAGCAATTATTGCCACGAGACAAGTTTTTGGTGCTCATCAGGGCATGTTCGGACGGGACGGAACTCGTCGGGAAAACCCGTCAGCACGTGTGGGGAAATTTTACCGCGATCGTGTAGCGTAGGACCCCTGTTTTGTTTTGATCAAATTAGAGTCAAAAAAGTTTTTTATTGCTAAAAAATCACCTTTATAATCAAAAGCAGACTTCTCAATTCTAAGGACACCCGTTTTGCAATTTTTAACAGTTTCTTGAGGTAGAAATCACAATTTTCTTGCGCCGTTTGTACCTTGCGATTCAGCGTGCCGTGCGTGCTCATGGTACATCGCGCGCGGTGATCGCCGTCTTTTCGGTTTGCATGTTGTGTTGCCGCGCTGTCATCGTCATTTTACCCCCAAATTTCCCTAAAAAATCAAAACCCTTCCCTCTATCTTTGACATTCCTGTTTATTGAGAACCAACTAGTTAGGTCTGTCTAATAATTTTAAAGTGGAATTTGTTTCCAGAAGTCGGGCCCCTATGTCGATGATCGCCAATTTTATCATAGTTGCCGGGCCGGATAGGGCTGCGATAGGTAACGTATCTCTTAATTTATAGATCTGGGTTGATTTTCTCTCAACTAAAACTAGCGCAAATTTTAGCATAAACAGTCCGTTATAAAATTCCCGCTCAAAGACACAGTGTACGGTTGTAATAGCAACGCGAATTAGCATTTCAGTCTCTATATCTGACCATAGTGCTCTGACCTACACAGAGCTATGAGATTGGTGAACTGGGCTCTGACCTGGGCAGAGCACCTACACGTGTCATGTAGCATTGACCAATCGATCGAGCTGGGCTCTGACCCACAGAGCTCCCACACAGCCCTGACTAAACATTGTAGTACGTCCTCTATTGAGCTGAGATGTAAATATTCCTGACTAAAACAGTAGAGACTAGTGTGTGTAAGACATTATCTTATCTGACTCTTTACTGATAATTTCTCTCACCCAAGAGAGACGTTACTAATTCTATTTAGCTGTTTAATCGGGACTCTCCCCCCTCCTCTCTTCTCCCTTCTCCAGTGCACTCTTTTTGTGTGTGTTAAGCTTCAATCGGACTTTATACACAAGACGAATTGCTGTTTCCTTTTAAAATGTCGGTAGTTTCTCGTGTACATTTTGATATAGCATTAAATTCATGGTCTCTATCATTTATTAGCTTGTTGCAGTTAAAAAATATTTTTGATTCCATTAGTTTGGCACAGAAAAAGGACCTGTTTGTTCTTAGAACAAAACTATTCAGCAATTATTGCCACGAGACAAGTTTTTAGTGCTCATCAGGGCATGTTCGGACGGGACGGAACTCGTCGGGAAAACCCGTCAGCACGTGTGGGGAAATTTTACCGCGATCGTGTAGCGTAGGACCCCTGTTTTGTTTTGATCAAATTAGAGTCAAAAAAGTTTTTTATTGCTAAAAAATCACCTTTATAATCAAAAGCAGACTTCTCAATTCTAAGGACACCCGTTTTGCAATTTTTAACAGTTTCTTGAGGTAGAAATCACAATTTTCTTGCGCCGTTTGTACCTTGCGATTCAGCGTGCCGTGCGTGCTCATGGTACATCGCGCGCGGTGATCGCCGTCTTTATTTTCAGTTTGCATGTTGTGTTGCCGCGCTGTCATCGTCATTTTACCCCCAAATTTCCCTAAAAAATCAAAACCCTTCCCTCTATCTTTGACATTCCTGTTTATTGAGAACCAACTAGTTAGGTCTGTCTAATAATTTTAAAGTGGAATTTGTTTCCAGAAGTCGGGCCCCTATGTCGATGATCGCCAATTTTATCATAGTTGCCGGGCCGGATAGGGCTGCGATAGGTAACGTATCTCTTAATTTATAGATCTGGGTTGATTTTCTCTCAACTAAAACTAGCGCAAATTTTAGCATAAACAGTCCGTTATAAAATTCCCGCTCAAAGACACAGTGTACGGTTGTAATAGCAACGCGAATTAGCATTTCAGTCTCTATATCTGACCATAGTGCTCTGACCTACACAGAGCTATGAGATTGGTGAACTGGGCTCTGACCTGGGCAGAGCACCTACACGTGTCATGTAGCATTGACCAATCGATCGAGCTGGGCTCTGACCCACAGAGCTCCCACACAGCCCTGACTAAACATTGTAGTACGTCCTCTATTGAGCTGAGATGTAAATATTCCTGACTAAAACAGTAGAGACTAGTGTGTGTAAGACATTATCTTATCTGACTCTTTACTGATAATTTCTCTCACCCAAGAGAGACGTTACTAATTCTATTTAGCTGTTTAATCGGGACTCTCCCCCCTCCTCTCTTCTCCCTTCTCCAGTGCACTCTTTTTGTGTGTGTTAAGCTTCAATCGGACTTTATACACAAGACGAATTGCTGTTTCCTTTTAAAATGTCGGTAGTTTCTCGTGTACATTTTGATATAGCATTAAATTCATGGTCTCTATCATTTATTAGGGGACTGCATGACAACTCATCGAGTAGCAGAGGCCAAGGCGAGGGAGGACATAGCTTCATTCTTGAAGTATGCCCCAAACAAGCCCGGAGCGACAAGATTCAGGGTAATATTAATTACACCAAATTACTGTGAACAGTATTTAAGTTGCCTGTTAAATTAACAAGTATGCCTGGGCCTACAGAGTACGAAAACAACTCTTTATAGGGCAAAGTTATCGTAATGTCGACTTCACACTAATGTCTGAAGACAACATGTAATATCTATCCAAGATATACAAACTTGTACACTGGAAGTTGTTTGCAGATAGTGTACTCTTTACCAGAACTGCCTTTGAAGCATTAATCGCAGTACGCTTGCGGAACACAAAAATGAATTGTCAGTACATTTTGTTTACCTTCTTATGCACAATAATTATCCAAAAAGAAGTGACAGATAATCCAAAAATAAGTCAGTTGGTCATCATCGGTTGTCCAACATCTGGAAAAAATCTTTACATTGATTTTTTTCTATTTTTTGTTTTGTTTTTGGCAGAATCCTGCCAACCCTGTTGACCCTGCCAACGCTGTTGAGCCCGCTGACCCTGTCGACCCTGTCGACCCTGCAAACCCTGCAGATGATGAATAACGACACTGCATCTTTTGCTTGAAACTAAGTGCACCGTTCGTGCTCTTCAAAATTTGTTTTCTTGTAGGCCTATTGGGGCTTCCCTATCTATCTCTACGGTTCTCATAATTATTTTATTTGACTTTATATGAAGCCCGGTCGGTCAGTCAAAAAGCAATAGCAATCTGAACTATAGTTGCACTCGTAAAGATGGTAAACTAAATGACGCAATAAATTTATCATGATTTGATATCACTGAATAAAATACAAAAACCACAAAACATTTTTGGCCAATTATAGACGACTTACAGTAATGTCTGGACGAAGCATCTCATTAACAATTTAGTTGTAGTGGCAGCAGCCAGTAATATTATAATGAGAGGCAACATTCTCTCATCTGTCTTTTTCCCTCTGATTTCCGTAAGCCGTAATTTTCAAGTCGAGAAAAAAAATCTGATATTCAATTTAAATAACATTTCAGAATAACACAGAGCCTAGTTGCTCGAATGCAGTATTCTTTGTTTTTTAATTTGGAAAAAAAAATCGTCTGTGAATGGGGTTTTGGAAATTGTCGGCGGAAATACATACCCCGAAATAGGGTCGATTAAAAAATGAGAACCAAAGAAATAAGGTGAAGCCCCAATGACGAATTAATGGTAATGAAGAAAGTATTATTACTTCTTTTTTTTGGGAGGGGGCATTGTATATTGGGGGAAAATAGGAGGTTTTATCATTTTAGGCCGCGCAGATCCACTATGCAAGTAGACTGGTTCATGATGTCCCTATTCATTGTATAATCGATTCTAAACGGATATGGGAATGACTCGAATGAAAACGCAAACAGTTAAATTATATGAACTTACTTGCCAATACTAAAATCGTCCTGATATTTTTGTTGACAAAGTTCGTTCAAATTGTGTAACTTTTGAATTACTAAGATAGCAATGTTAAAAACCAATTGTGTTTTCGGGATGAAACTCAAAAATAGCACTTGTATAATTTATTTGTTGTCAGAAAACTCAGTCCCACGTTGCCTGAAGAATATTATTTTACGTTAAAGTTACTTATAGCATAACTAGTAGTCACCCGGAGATGTACGCCTGCCCAGCTTGGCAATTTCAGGACATTTAAATCCTTGCTAAAGGTTAATACATGCATATAAATAGACTTGTGCCCATCCTTGCTGAAGATTAATACATGTATAATTATATAAATAAAATCTGACACACTATCGTTTTGAAGGGAAACTGACAAAATAAGGCCATTGGCGGGCAATCTGTTTTACATGCGTTTAAAAAAATCCCAAACTGTTTCCTGTTGCTGTTCCTGCTTCCCAGCAAAAACACACACAAAACTAGATCATTGGTTTTCTAACTGAATTAAGAGGCTTAATGTTTTTTTTTTTTTTTTTTAAATAGGCGAACTGAAAGCGACATTGTACTGTTTATATCAGATTCATAAATACCTCAGACAGTTTAGCTATTCCTATTGGTCGAGAGCCCGTCACGTGGCCGGTATTAAACGGATGATAAAGACATGGCTAGCTGGTCTTAAACACTTTTCCAGTGTCACAATAAAATGTGGACTCCTAAAAATCCAGTTCCTCTTAGCGTTTCATTGGTTGAACGTTCACAATCCTCACGTAGGCATGCGCAACACTACAAGCGAGTCAGAATTTTATAGTTCTAAACTCAAAACGCAACGCCCCAGGTGCGTTCTGCGTGACATCGCGCAGAACATGTTACGCGCGCGTCAATCTCCATAAAAGGGTTGTTTACATCTTACTCGCCAGCTGAACACTCCATTATTTTGCTAGAGGGATGTTTCAAAAAGCATGAAGTGAACTTGTTGAACAAAATCGGGATTTTTTGAACGAATTATTTGAAATTTTTTTACGGATAAGGCATTTATGAATGGGAATAAATATGTGCTCGGTCGGTATTTATCACTCGTTTAATACCGCTTAGAGTCTGGGTGCTGATAATTACCCTCGCCTCCGGCTCGGGTAATTATCAGCACCCAGACTCTAAGCGGTATTAAACGAGTGATAAAAACCTCCGGAGCACACATTTATTCCCTTATTTATACTAGCTTTGTAATAATAATGATTGACGAAGGTTTGCTTCCATGCATTTACCGGATACATTCTTTGTAATAAATGTAGAAACAGTAAGTCTGGTTAAAGGGAAAGGTATGAACATTTGCCATTTTGGAGCTGCAGATGACGCTCCATGAATGAAGAAAGTATAGATGCAGGTTTGAAGATGAATATCAAGAAAACAAAAGTTATGTGAAATAGCAATGTACAGTCCAGAGACATTATACTAAAAGGAGAGAAAGTTGAGACGTGTCAGCTTCATATTTTTATGGGCAAAATAATAATAATAATAATACCGGAGTCTTATATAGCGCACGTATCTACCAACAATTAGGCACTCCAAGCGCTGGAAATTATGTCTGTTATTAGAGACAGGTAAAGGAAGTACATTAGAAACTATGAGAACCATTATGTACCACCTTTATATGGTTTTCAAGATGCTGTGGCGCACTAAGCAGCCACTGCCGCCATATACACCGGGGCAAACCCCTTCTCTTAGCATTAACTTTTACTGGGTTCTTTAATTAACGTGCCGTATACAACACACGGGACCTACAGCTGTATGTCCAATCCGAAGGACGAAGCAATAATGGTAAAGTGCCTTGCTCAAAAGCACAAGCACCATTTTCCCACGGTCAGGATTCGAACCCATGTACCGCGGCACACGAGTCGAGCACGGAGACCATTAAGCACAGCACCCCAATGATTACGCCGGTAGGATCAGACAACATCAGAAGTCCACAGAAGGACACAATTCGCTTGTGCAAAAATCAGCACGTTGGAATTATCTTGCGAGATAGTAACCTTCCACTATCCTTGAAGAAGCCAGTTTTGAACCAACGTATACACTACCAGTTTTATCATAATGGGGGCGGAGACATGGTCAACAATTCTCTCAATGCAGAGAATAATGATTTGGATGTCAAGTAGTGATAGGTTCAGAAATGAGGAACTTGGACGAACTTGAGTAGAAAAGATTATCAGTGTAATCAAGAAAAATTAAATAAAATGGGCGAGCAACATTTTGCCAGAAGACAAGATAATAGGTGCACTCTATAAAGATTACAAATTGGTCACCAAGGACGTAGGAGAAGTATAGAGGGAGACGAAAGCGAAGCTGGATGGACGAAGTTCGGGACATTGGATGGATGAGGGAAGCACAATGCAGAATATATCCAAATTCAAGTTGCTCTGTTCTTTGACGTCGTTGAACGATGATTTCTTTTGAATTAAGGCAGACTACTTTTTATGCTGCACGCATGCACGCTGCGAATCTTAATTTGAACAGCCTTTTTAGATTCAAGTTCTCAGGCGTTTTGGGTCCGTTGCATACAGCTGGGCCCAGTGAAGCCTTCAGTTAATACTTGAAACAAAAACGGACTGCAAACGTGCATGTTAAGCCTTAAGTATGGAAAAGCGGTATCGGACCTTTTATACACGGGCGGATCCAAGGGGATGGCTGCGTGGCTCTACACAACACATCCACCCAACGAAGCGAAGGCTATGTAATACTCTTTAATTTTGAAAAGTCAGCTGCGTCGCACGTCCCAATGAAGTACGAGGAAAGTTTGTACAGGGCGAGTCAAAAAAAAGGGGAACCCAAAAACAAAGAAATATATTTCATATAAAAAAACCTATGTAGAACAAAATTAGCTACTTTAATTGAGAAAATTATTTTTCAATTGCTCTGCACGTTAAAATTGTATCACTATTTAAACGAAGTAACCCCTAAAATTAGTTTCGTCCAAAAAAGCAATTTGGACTTGTTTCAACAACTGTAGAACGCAATATCTTTATTAGCAACCCTGCTTTGGCCAACAATAGGATTTATAAAATCCACATTTATTTTTAAAGACGGGCCTTTAAAAGGCTTTTGTTTAATGTTTGTAACTTTTTAAGTGAGATGTTATCGCTGGTGGTGTTTGAAGACAATTGTGACGACAATTCTTGAAATCGCCTTTTTGGGTAGATGTTAGGGTCATTTCGTTTAAATGGTGATATAATTTGAGCGGATTGAGCAATTGAAGTATTTGTTTTTCATCTAAAAGTAGTTAATTTAATTGGGTTACCAGTCATAATTATTTTTTTCGGGGCTACCTGTTTTTTTGTAAATATGAAAAACATTCCTTTTGGTTTGGGTTCCGCTTTTTTATACTCACCTTGTATGAGAATCCCGCAACGTATTCTAATCCCCTCCAGCGATTTGCTGTTTATTTTATACGGCTGGTGTAAAACGAATAGCGCTAGCTATTGTCTGACATTGACCATAACATCGGTTTGAACAGCGCCACCATGTAAAGATAGTGTCCATCCAGCCCCGCCCCACCCACTCCCCCACTTTTTGCTTTATTCATTACAGTTTTTTTTAAACACTTGCAAGTATTAAGTCACGGAATATAGTTTTACCCTTTTTTCAGGAAAGAAACAAAATAAAGTCTCCGCATTTGACTATAATACAATCTGCAACAAGATTCAGTGAAATAGTCAACTTGTGAAAACAAACTTGAAACATATACAGAGGTCAGCGAATCTGCAAATGACAACGCTGTTAAAAGTTATGTGCTGACCAAGCATTCAGGGGTCGGATGAGCCATCGCAATAAACCCATGACGATCCCTTATAGGACTCTTCTGGGATTTCGGCGGTCCCGGCCTATACACTTCCTTCCCTGTCTATCCATATAACCCGAGGGGCCAGGCACCATGTACAAACAAAGAGCTAGGGAGGAACAAGGCGACACCCTAAGCCCTGATCCCCCGAGTGGACTCACATGCCCTGAACCTGTACGAAGATGCCAACCTGGACTTCACAGGCTATCCCAGCGGCAGCGCTTACCCATTAAGCTAAGGTACTGTTGGTACTTTAGGACGGTAAATTAAATCCTTTATAGAAAGTGTCGGACAGCGAGTGTTGAAAACTAAAA